CTGTCATCTTTCTGTATCCAAAGTCAGTGATTGATTGTTGGTATGAGGTCTGATATGGACCACTACTGATGTGGAGTTGATATGCTGAGCTGGAGTATGATTATCATTTTAATTCTCAACACCCCCTTTCAAGCTGGAGGGTAATGGAATGACTCCAAGCTTGTCTTTCAAGAAGAGGAACCTAGAATGAGAGAGTCCTTTTGTCAACAAATCCACAATTTGATCTGAAGATGGAACATACTTGACTTCCAATTCCTTTTTCAGCACTTTGTCTCTGATGAAATGAACATCTAATTCAATATGTTTTGTCCTTGCATGGTACACAGGATTGGATGCCAAAGAGCTTGCACTCATTTTATCACACCAAAGAATTGGTGTTGGTCCAAGTGGCAATTCCAGCTCTTTGAAGAGTGATTGAATCCAAGTAATTTCTGATGCTGCTGATGCGAGGGCTCTGTACTCCGATTCGGTGCTTGATCTAGCAACTACATGTTGCTTCTTTGACTGCCAAGCCACCAGATTCTCTCCTAAGTAAATGCAATATCCAGCGGTTGACCTCCCGTCATGACCTGTCCTTCGGGTCTCAGCATCTGAGAATCCGCTTATCTCCAATCTGTCATTCTTTTGTATCCAAAGACCCTGATTGATTGTTCCTTTAAGGTACCTAAGTACTCTTTTCAGTGCTTGCCAGTGAACTGAGGTAGGAGACTGTAAAAATTGACTCAGTTTGTTAACCGTAAAGGTGATATCAGGTCTGGTGTGAGTTAAGTATTGCAACCCTCCTACAACACTTCTATAGACAGAGGGATTTTTCAAGATTTCACCATCAGCTTTGGACATCATTTTGCCCGCAAGGATGGGAGTTAGACATGGTTTCAAATTTTCCAGATCAAATTTTTTGAGTAGCTCACCAATGTATCTTGTTTGAGTGAGATGAATTCCCAATTCATGCCAATGTACTTCAATCCCCAGGAAATGATGAAGCTGCCCCATATCTTTAAGTGCAAAATTTTTGTTCAGTTCATTTATGAAGTTCTGCATCAACTCTGAATTGTTACCTGTTACCACAATGTCATCAACATAAATAAGTGCAAAAATAATTTGATTTTCAGTTTTGAGATAGAACAGGGACGTGTCTGCAATTGATTGCTTGAAGTTCCAGCTTAATAGAGTTGATTTAAGCTTATCATACCAGGCCCTTGGTGCCTGTTTCAGCCCATAGAGTGCTTTCTCTAGCTTACAGACATGGCCTGGTTTTGATTGATCTTCAAAACCTTCAGGTTGATTCATGTAAACAACCTCTTCAAGTTCACCATTAAGGAAGGCATTATTTATGTCAACCTATCTGATTTTCCATCCCTTCGATACTGCCATGGAGAGTATAACTCGTAAGGTTGAAGATTTAATCACTGGACTGAAAGTTTCCAGAAAGTCAATACCAGGTTCTTGATGAAAACCTTTTGCCACTAGCCTTGCTTTCAACCTTTGAACAGAGCCGTCTGAGTTCCTTTTAACACTGAAGACCCACCTATTTCCCACTATGTTGTAATTTGATGAGAAGGGAACAAGTTTCCAGGTCTTAGTTTTCATCAGAGCATTGAACTCTTCTTCCATGGCCTTCTTCCATTTCTCACTTTTAGCTTCACTGATATTTTTAGGTTCAGATATTTCAGGGATACCCTCAGTTGATTCTCCCAGAAAGACCTTTGGTTTGAAGACCCCTGCTTTTCCCCTTGTAACCATAGGGTGTTCTATCAGGGGTTTTACCTGTTGGTGAGATTCAGATTGTTGCTGGTCAGATGGGAATTCTGTTGTCTCAACTCTTTCAATGTTCTGAGGCTGTTCAGCTTCAACCTCTTGATTTAAATCTTGAATACTCATGTCTATAATCAGACCAGAGGGTTCAACCCTTTCATCATTCTCTTCTTCAAACCGATTGTTAGATGAGCTAGATGGAGTGTGAGTTGCATTGACTGCCTCTGGAAGAACTGTATCAGCATGACTTGATATAGGTTGAGTGATATGCAGTTGAGGTGGAAACTGGAAATAGAAAACTATTGTTTCTGAGTTAAGCAAGGATTTTGGTTGGTTTTGATTTGAAAACATAGACTCGAAAGGGAATTCAAGTTCATTAAAGACCACATGCCTGGAGATATAAATTTTCCCTGTAGAAGTTAGGCATTTATATCCCTTGTGAGACTCACTATAGCCAATAAAAACGCACTTGACTGAATGGAAGCTGAACTTATGTTTTTGATAGGGCCTAAGACAGGGGTAGCAGGTGCAACCAAAAATTCTTAAGGATTTGAAGTCAGTTTCTTTTCCATAAAGAGTAAGGAATGGCGATTTCCTTTCAAGAACAGGAGTAGGCAATCTATTGATAAGATAAGTGGCAGTTTGAAAGGATTCCCACCAATATTTTAAGGGTATTTTGGCTTATGCTAGGAGTGTGAGACCTGTTTCTGTTATGTGTCGGTGCTTCCTCTCAATCCTACCATTTTGAGCTGAAGTGAGAGGACAAGGATGTCTGAATTCGACCCCTTCTTGTGCAAGAAATTTGGTAAAAGATCTATACTCTCCTCCTCAATCGGATTGAAGGATTTTGATTTTCTTTCCAAGCTTGTTTTCAACTAATTTTTTGTATTGGATGAACACCTCCAGAGCATCAGATTTTTGCTTAAGAGGGTAAATCCAAGAGTACCTACTGAAATCATCTAGAAATGTTATATAATATCTGAAACCACAAGTTGATGGAATGGGTGCTGGGCCCCATAGATCTGTATGCACAAGTTCGAGGGGCAGTTTTGCGTGTGAAGTTGAAAGAGAGTAAGGGAGAAGATGAGATTTCCCAAATTGACAAGCATCACAGAAGGAAAAACTTTCATTCGTCATTAAAGTTTGATTACAGAGTTTGAGAACTTGAGACATCACTTGGCTGGAAGGATGTCCAAACCTCTTATGCCATACACTAGCTTGGAAATTTAAAGATTTTTGACTTGACTCAAGACTGGTATTGGAGGATGTGGCACTGCAGCAGTGGTTGTTTGAGTAGGCTGAAGACTGGTGATGAGTTTTGGTGTTTTGTTGAGGCACGTCTAGCTGATATAATCCTTCCTTAAGCGTCCCTTGCAGCATCACCTCCCTCGTTAGCTGATCCTTAACAAGACAGTGGTCAGAGTGGAATGCCATAAACACTTTATTATCAGAGGTCAACTGAGAAACACTGATTAGATTTTTCTTGATTTCAGGTACAAGAAGCATTTTATTTAAAACAAGGGATTTGTCATTCATAGTTGGAAGAAGGGTATTACCAAAGTGAGAGATCTGGAGTTTGTTTCCATTTCCAACCATGATTGTTTCCTTACCAGTGTATTCAGTTGGTGAAATGAGATTTTGTTTGTCTGAAGTAATATGGCTGCTGGCTCCAGTATCAGCAAACCAAGCTGGATCATTCAATGTGCTGGGACTAGCAACATAGGCTGCTGGTGCAGGTGAATGGCTGTAGGGTTGTCTGTAGTTTGGTGGTGCACCTGTGTATCTTTCATCGAACCTGAAGTTGCATATATTAGCCTTATGACCAGCTTTACCACAAACTTGACATATAGGCCTATCACTGCCAGGCCTATCACCACCATAGAAGGTTGCACCACCTCTGTTTCTCACCCTTCTTGCTCCTCTGAAACTGTTGTAAGTGAGGTTTGCTGGATCTGAAATGGTGATAATTCGAACTAGATCTCTGGGAAAAATTTGCTGAGCCTTGATGATCAAGGCTGATTCCTGCCATCTCATTTCTAATTGAGTTGAGGTGCTCCAACCTACTTTCAAAGGTCATCAAGGTAGACTGTAATTCTCCCCAGGTAATGTTATCTCTGCTATTGATTTGAACGACAATTGGAGTGTAATCTTCATCCAAGCCTGCCAGAACTTGAGTTACCAAGTCAGAGTGAGGAACAGCTTTTCCTGCAATCTCCAGATTATCTGCCAACAGCTTTACTTTGTTAAGGTATTGATCAATGCTCATAGCCCCTTTTCTTGATTTTTGAAGTTCACCAGTGAGAAAAGTTATCCTGGATCTATTCTGAATTCCATAGCTTTCTTTAACTGCTATCCACAACTCGTTTGAAGTTTTAGTTCCCATAACTCTCATGGCTATATCCGGAGTCATGGAAGAGTAAAGCCAGCCCATCAGAGCTGGTCTGTTGATTTCCACTGGGTGTGCTCTGGATTTTTTGTCATTTCGATGCTGGTTCCAATCTCACCAGCAACTTGGACTCCAATAAATTCTGGTGGGCACAGCTTTGTCCCCAGAATATATCCTTCAAGGTCATGACCCCTAATTATAGGGAGTATCATGTTTTGCCAAAGGAGGAAATTATTTTTGTCAAGCTTAACCGAAACCACCTGGGTCAGATTCATGCCAAAAGGCGAGGTGTTGCTGATTCCTTGTATTGAACCAGTATTGCTACTTGCAACTGATGCTTGAGCAAAATCAGCATCGGTGTTTTGTTGAAAATTACTGGCGTTGGCCATTAATGCTCTGATACCAAGTTGAAAAGCAAAACTAAGTTGGATGATTGATTGGCTTAAGCTTGAGAATTTCATTTAGCTGTAGTGAGGTATAAATATTTACATATAGAAGGTTCCAGATGATTAAAGGAAGTTGTTAGAATAAGTTACAACAAATTGATAGTGGTAGCACAATGGTGAATGCGTGCAGCCTGGTATGAGGTCTGATATGGACCACTGCTGATGTGGAGTTGATATGCTGAGCTGGAGTATGATTATCATTTTAATTCTCAACAGGCTCTGCACTATATACAGAATCTGAAAAGGAAAAAAGGTGGTATCTTCGTTTGCATGAAAATGTTGATAGTTTGTTTGATCCATCAGAACCAGTTCTCTCTCGTTTTTTGCAATTTCTAAGGTCCCTCATTTTGTATGGTTACTTGATTCCTATTTCTCTCTATGTCTCCATTGAAATTTTCAAAGTTCTAAAAGCCATGCTTATTAACAAAGATCTAGGTATGTATGATGAAATGACAGGCAAGACAGTTAAAGCCCGAACGTCCAAGTTAAATGAGGAGCTTGGACAAGTAGAAATGATTCTATCAGATAAAATTGGGACCTTAACTTGCAATCAAATGGAATTTAGGAAGTGTTCGATAGAAGGTATTTCATACGGGGGTGAAGTGAATGAAGGTGATCTTGCAGCTTCTCAAAGAATGAACATTGATGTGGAGAGATATAGGTTCAGCTTGGATGGATCTGATTCTACTGGTCGAAGTATTGAGATGTTTGACCTCTCTACAGCTGATGCTAGCATAGAGAAGGAGATTTTACATTGTACTCAAGGCTCGGATGATCCAAATGCTCAAAATTCAAGAATTTCTGTTACTGGGAGAGAATCCATTATCAAGGGTTTCAATTGGTATGAGGTCTGATATGGACCACTGCTGATGTGGAGTTGATATGCTGAGCTGGAGTATGATTATCATTTTAATTCTCAACACTCTGTAATACGCAATAAATTATACAATCATTCTAGTGAACTAATTAGCCTGTGCATGGGCATAAGAAATGACAATAGTGCATGCATTCAATAACTAAGAACATATCAGTTGTGCCCTTATGTTTAGACGCTAGTATGTTGCTTGACCAGGGGAATGTTCATGGTCAAACAGGAAACCAATTCTTCCATTTGTCCTTGCGTAATTATAAAGTCGATTTTGACACAACAAAGTACCTATAAGAATGCCAAGAAAAGCAAACACTCAACGACCAACGTCCTTCATGGCTTAGGTCCAGCATTTTCTGATTCCAGCCACTGAATGTTGTAAGACTTCCTAAGAAACCAGTCGACAATCCAATAGCCAACTCGTCTGAAACTTTCATAAGATCATCTTCGAAAACAACACCAAACCAACCCGTTAAGAATAAACCAACCTGAAACAATGCACATAATTTGCAAGATTATCTGAGAGAGAACAACAACTGATAGGAGCAATAACTTCATACTATTCAAGTAACAATTCTCATTTGTACTATTATTCTCACATGTTTTGTAAGATGGATTAAATAGCACTGTACAGTATGAAGAGTGGAAAAGAAACTGGAATCTTATACATTGTAATTCCAATACCATCTAATATTGGATAACTAACATGCACTTCATATTCAACCTTGCAACAAATTCAAGTAGTATCCAGATGAACACTATTTATCTCTATAATGGATTTTACGACATTGTACATATTACATTCCAAACACCCATGACTGCAAGAATGTTGAGTTCATGTGCAGGTGATTAGGTTCAACATGAGCATAAGGGCAAGTTTTTTTTAATTGGCGGGGGCACCAATTGTGTGCGCGCATGCACGAGAGAGAGAGAGAGAGAGAGGGAAGATCACGGTACATATAGTTTTCGTCACTTGTAGCACCAATTACCTCTGATCCAAATAATTTTCGAGACCATACCTGATCAGAACCTACAAAAATATTACAAGAAAAGCTTTAGGAACCGTAATTTCAATGAATTCTAGTGTGACCAGATGGAAGATATCAGGAAAAAAAATCATTTTCAAGCCACTGTCAGTTGATGTTATTGCAACAGACACTAAACTGGCCTGTCCGGACGCAATGTCCATTATAATTCTACCCGTTAACAATCAAAAATACAACCGTTGGACATTTTTTTTATTCCACAAATGTCTGACAAGATTTCAGGCCCTAAGTCTCCACTTTCCCAATTTACCCCCCTCATTTACACGCCTCACCAACCCAAACTCTTCTCTCTCCTAACTTCTTCGTCCAGTTCTCTTCCACAAAAATTCACTATTTGGAACTTTTGCTATTTCAGCACAATCGCAGTTACCTTCTCCTTCCTAGATCTGCACATGGTAAAACCTCTCTTCCGTGTTTGAATTGTGTTCTCCGACCAGAATTTTCAGCAGATCCCTCAGAGACTGTGCGGGGAGAGCTCCACGAACCGAACGAATCGCCTTTTCAGTCAGACTGTCGATAACGTAATCCGGCCAAAGAGAAACCACGCTACCCCCATGGATCCACGGCTGTCATCGGTATGGGACGTTTGATTCGATTTCTTACATTTTCACGTCTGGGCTTGTTACCTAATCACCGTCCCCAAATTTTTTTCGCACTCTGATGTTTTCTGGCTTGTCATCGCATATGGGTTTTAACGGTTCGTCGTCCACCTCCAACCCTCCTCCAAGCCAACGCCCAGCCCCAACCCGGAAAAACGCCATTAGGACCAAACACGATAACCACATTTTCGTTGCTATATTCAAAAGATGAACCGGAAGAGAAAGTGAAGAAGTGAAGAGGGCACGAACAAATTGAGCATGTAACTTTTGCATTGGAACAAGAAAATTGGAAAAAGGATCGAGAAATGGAGAAAACAAAGTGCAAGGACCAAACCGCAAGAGATAAGAAATTCCTATCTCTATTCGGTCGCATAGCGTGCAAGGCTATGCGGTCTCATAGAGCCTTGCAGTGAATTGCAATGTGAAATCTGTGTATTCTATGCGACCGCATAGAAGGAATTATATTTCTTTAGGTTTCCTAATTCAACTACAACTCGTATGGAAACAAGATTTAGGTCACCTATATAACCCTAAAACGTCCAGAAAAGGGCTCACACCACTTTAAAGAGAAAAACTAAATGAAAAGCAAGGGGAAGGCAAAACCAAGAGATCTTTACATCGAACATTGAAGAATTCAAGATCCTTATTCAAGTTTTGGGTGATGTCTTTTCCTAAACAATTTTCTTGCTCTTTATTTTTATTCATGCTAGACTAAACTTTTATTGTACTAGGAGAACGATGAACCTCGCTTTGTGAATGTTTAATTTCTTATTTTGCAATTTTGACATTAAGACATGAATATTTTATGTTGAATGATTTATATGCATTGCTCTTTCTCTACAATTATATGCGCAATAGTTGCATGAGTGTGGTAGCTTATTTTATGCATTCAAAAGAAGTGAAATAAGCTCAACGGGGTATAAATCATCGTAGAGTCCAATATGGGATAGAAATATACCGCTATACTCTACGTGAATCTCTAAGTGCTTACAAAACGTCATGCTTTTTCATGTATTGCATTTGTCATAGAAATATAGTCAAATGGTATGTGAGAATATGTTCGATGTTACTCGAGAGAGATTATTTAATATATTAGAAATATTGATTCTTCAACTAGATCGTCGTGTTGTCAAATTGTGAAACAAGGGTTGAACGTGAGCTTGTTTGGTGATTCGGGATTCTAGACACTTTTCATACGTTAATTTCTTCAAACTTTTGCATTCAAGATCATCTTGCATTCATTTAATAATCTTAGCTTAAATTGCAGTTAAATCATAGTTTAGATATCAGATTCAAATCATCTTGAGATATAGATTCGGTTAAGATCTTGGTAATAGAAATCAAATTAATTCAATCCTCGTGGGACAATACTCGAAATTTTACAATTTCCACTTTATTACTTGTTAACGAACCGTGCACTTGCGATGATTTACAAAGCGAACATATTTTCGTGAACGTCTGACTATGAAGATTGGAACTTAATATTTACAAAGGCTAAGGCTACGATAAGTTCAGAAAGAGAAGAACTACTAGAGAATGCCCCTGAGATGATCGAGAAAGATTTGCTTTTACTAGGTGCTGTTGCAGTGGAAGATAAATTGCAGAAGGGGGTTAGTGTTCTTTCTTTCTTCCACAGGTTCACTTAAGCAGAGACATACTTTGCAACATGATTTGCATGTATAATAACATTTTTTTGTTTTAACACTGATACCAGGTTCCTCAATGCATTGATAAATTTGTGCAAGCAGGCCTAAAGATCTGGCTCCTAACTGGTGATAAAAAAGAAACAGCAATAAACATTGGGTGAGATTTTCTTCCATCTCAATTTCATTATTACTCAAAGTATTATGAAAATTTTTGTGGAGTACAGCAAGGATATCCGTGTTTTCTTTTAATCTGGACAGTTTCTATTTGTTATGGCAGATATGCTTGCAGTTTACTTCGGCAGGATATGAAACAGCTTCATTTGAAGTTGAGCACAAAATTGGAATCTAAACATCAAGTGAAGGTGAACATCAGTTCTAATTAATGAACTCCGCATGGTTTTGCTTCAGAAAATTTCTTTACACAAAAAAGTGAAATACTAAAGAAACTGCTGAAATAGGATCAAGTTTTCCTCATTTTTAGTTTTTCAGGATGTCAAAGAAGAAATTTTACTGCAAGTAGAAAGTTATAACCAAATGATTATTCAAGAAGACAGAAAAGACGCCCCTTTCGCTTTAGTTGTTGATGGCCAAGCTCTGGAGATAAGTTTGAGTCGCAATCTGAAACACCAGTTCTTCTCCTTGGCTATGAACTGCGATGTGGTCATATGCTGCCGTGTTTCTCCCAAACAGAAAGCCTTGGGTAGGATTGAGTCTTCTGGTTTCATTGGAGTTGTTGATTTTTCTTACAAAAAACCACTTATTAATCTGTTTTGTTCATTGAAAAATGTTGAGATTACTCGATTGGCAAAACGGCATTCTGGAAAGACAATTTTGGCAACTGGTGATGGTGCTAATGATGTTGGCATGATCCAGGAAGCTGATATCGGAATTGGAATCAGCGGCATGGAAGGAATGCAGGTAATAGCTCTTTCTGTTGTCAGCTGCCACTGGTGGACCCGGGGGGTCATTGGGGGGGGGCACGTGCCCCCCAACTTTTGAGAATTTTTTTTTTTTAAAGTCATGTTTGGTATCGATTGAAATCTAAATTTTAATCTAAATCAAAGTTAACAATTAATTTTAATAACATATTTTATGGAATTCATAACTGTTTAACTTTTATCAAAATTTACTAAAGATTTAATTTTAATTTCCACCAAATAGGGGCAAAATCACAATAAATTTGAATTTCGATAACATGCTAATTTTAAAAAATTTCGACGGTCGTACGCTAATCGAATTTACAAATTGCTTATGTCACTAGACATAACTGTGAGAACAACTACTAGGGCCACCGTCTTCTTTGTGATAGATGGTCCTACAAGTTCCAATGTGCTACTAGGAAGAAATTGGATTCACGGGAGTCGTTGCATACCTTCATCGCTCCATCAATGCCTAGTTTTCTGGAACGACAAAGGCGAAGGAAAAGTGGTGCAAGCAGATCATAGACCCTTTGTCGTAAAAGCAAACTCAGTAGAAATGTTCATGTATGAAGTAAATTATGGATTTGTTATGGTAGTTCAAGATGGGGAAGAGACTCAAATTGTAGCATAAAGCGAAGAGCCATTTTCAGTAGATGCACTTACTGAAATATTCAATCAAATAAGACCATAGATGGTGACCATTGAAGAGCCAGTAATTAGCAAAAAGATAATCAATGAACTCTAATGAGTTGTCAACAATAAGAAAATATGATCGATATTCAAGCCTTCAAAGCCAAATTAATGGTTTTTAATAAGGAATGTAAAGAGAAGATAAAAGAAGAAGCAACATTAAAGATGTTGAGAAATAAATTAGTAGTGTTCGAATTGGAGTAGAATATTAGTTGAGAAGTCAACAAAGTGCCTTGCTTAGAAGAGGAAGTGCCTACAAGGAACCTACAGGATGAAGTAATGATGATCACAAAGTCTGGGCATGCTCAAGCACAAGACCCTTTGATAAAGGTGTATATTGGCGATGAAGGGGAAGATCACCCAACATTTATCACCCGATGTTTAGTCAAGAGGTAAGTAATAAATTAATCGCTTTATTAAAGGAATACAAGGATTGTTTTGCTTGGCAATATGAACACATGACTGATTTAGATAAAAGTTTAGTAGAAGATAGGTTACCAACTAAATGAAGTTTTAAACCTCATAAACAACCTTCTAGGCGTTTTTCCTCTAATGTATTGCCTGAGGTAAATAAAGAAATAGAGCGATTGTTAAAGGCGAGTTTTATTAGAATAGCCAGATATGTTGAGTGGTTATCTAATATTGTATTGGTATTAAAAAAAGAATGGTAGTATTAGAGTGTGCATAGATTTTAGAAATTTAAATTTAGCAACGCTCAAAGATGAATATCCAATGTCTACGGTGGATTCTTTAGTAGATTCAACTGCCGGACATGTAATGTATTCTTTTATGGACGGATATTCAGGATATAACCAAATTTACATAGCTGAAGAAGATGTACACAAAATTGCCTTTAGGTGCCTTGGGGCTCTAGGGTAATTATGCCTTTCGGCTTGAAAAATGTAGGGGCAACCTATTAAAGGGCAATGAACCTAATTTTTTACGACATGATAGACAAATTTTTTGAAGCATATGTAGATGACATAGTGGTCAAATCTATTAAAGATGAAGACCATTTTGAACAATTAAAACCCTCATTTGAGCGAATGAGGCAATACAAACTAAAATTGAATCCTTTGAAATGTGCATTTGGTGTTAATGTAGGGAATTTCTTTGGTTTTTTAATGCACAAAAGAGGAATTAAACTTGATAAAAATAAAGCGAAGACCATTTTAGAGGTCAAACCACCTAGTAACAAGAAAGAATTGCAAAGGTTTTTAGGTCAAGTAAACTTTTTGAGACGTTTTTATGTCTAATTGTGCTGGGCGAATGAAAGATTTTTCGCCTCTTTTAAAGCTGAAAAATCAGGACGAATTCGTTTGGAAAAAAGAACATCAAAAGGTTTTTGATAGCCTGAGACATATTTGTCAAAAACACCAGTATTAGTATCACCTATCCAAGGACGGCCAATGAAAGTATACGTATCGACTGAACAAGAATCAATAGCCGGGATGGTCGAAAAGAAGACCAATTTGGTGAAGAAATGACGATCTATTATTTGAGTAGATAGTTAACGAAATGTGAATGTAATTACTCTGCTATTGAAAAGTTGTGTCTTGTTTTATATTTCACATGAACAAAATTAAGGCATGTAACTGTTTACTTGTTTCTAAAGTAAATTTAGTTATATATATGTTTTTTCACCCTATTTTACACCAAATGATAGGCTTTTGGATTTTGACATTATCAAAGTTTGAAATACAATATAGCCCCAAAAGGCAGTTAAAAATCAAGCATTAGCTAAGTTTTTGGCCGATTATCCATGCCTGAAGAAATTGAATTAGAAATTGATTCATATGAATTAAAACCTTGGAATTTATACTTTGACGGATCAAAAACTTCTAGAGGTGCATGGGTAAAAATAGTTTTAATAAATCCTCTAGGGATTTATTATAAGTTTGCTTTCACTTTGAATAGAATGTATACCAATAATCAAGCTAATTACGAAGTATTGATCGTAGGCTTAGAGCTCTTAATAGAATTGGGAATAAAGAATGTAATTATTAGGGCCGATTCCCAATTATTAATTTACCAATTGATTGGTGATTTTAAATGCCAAAGTGATTGTCATCAGTCAATATGATATCGCTAAAAAATTATTGGAAGAATGTAATCAAGTGGATCTTCAATACGTTAACAGGATGTATAACGATCTAACAAACGAATTAGCCCAAATGGCTTCGAGTTATTCAAATGTGCTAAATTTGGAATCCACTTGTGAATATGGAGTAATATTGCCCGTAGTACAATGGAGGGCGAGAATGATTGAGGTTCATTGCATACAAAATGGAGATGCAATAAATTGGAGGGTAGAAATAAAAAGATTCTTGAAAGAACCTGGCAAGGAGAGTAATGGAAAAATGAAGTTACGCTCATTAAATTACATACTGATAGATGAGGAACTATTCAAGAAACGTTCGGACGGTATGTTATTAAAATGTGTGAGTTTGCAAGAGGCCAAAACCATCATGGCTGAAGTACATGAAGGAATATGTGGAGCCCATCAGACTGGCTAAAGAATGAGATGGTTAATTGTTAGGAGTTGATACTTTTGGCCCAAAATGGGAGAATCTTGCGTTTCGTCCTTTACCTCTTGAGATGTTTGACCTTCTTTACATTCCAACACACACGCTTTGTCCTCATTATCTTTCCTTCCCTTCCCTTTCCTCCTCTTCATTTTCCTTACTCTTGAATTCATTGGCTAGCAAATAATTATTAACCATAATAGGAGGTAGTGTATCAAATTGAATGGTGACGGGTCGCTCTGGATCTTCTTCATCTTTCTTTTCACGCTCAAAATTTGATATCCGAGAAGAACTTTTTGGTAATTCTTCCATTAATTCGTCCATACTAGTCTCTTTATTATCTTTAAGAACATTTTTGTTAGCCACCTCAAGCAAATTTAGGTGCTTTAGAACGTGACGATCCCTGCTGTTGCCTCATCATTCGTTTATAGATCGGTTGAAAACGCATTTGTTGGGTTCTGGTCATTTCATTAAAGGGTACAACTCTTCCTGTATTATACTGGAACGAATGTCATACATTTAGTTGGAGAGGTTGTGGCCTAAATGTTCTCCCATTGTTTATTGGTCTGAACTGCCTCTCAAAAGGCAGTTCCCCATAGAATGACATACTCCGTCTTCCATCGGTCTGAAAATTTGGAACAACATTAGGATGATGGTGATATCGCCATATTCCTGGGCTTTCCATATTCTCATTTACTTCTCCCTTACATCTAGCACACATGACACCTTTGTCTTTTATAAACTCCTTTTCTTTGATACGTTAAAAAACATTGGGATGTGATTCAGAATCTTCTTCTCCATCATCTACAACCAACTTGAATTTTGGCAACTTATTTTTTGAAACCACTTGTCACCATATTCACCCCAAGTGGTTGTGGGAAAGGATTTTCATCCCTGCAATTTTCTTCTTAGCTTCAAATGTGATTCCTCCTAACTCAATGGCGTCCTGTAACACATGACGAAAAACCAGACAATTGTTAGTCATATGTGACCATGCATTATGCCATTTACAATATTTTTTACCCCGTCGCTCAATTTTATCTGCTTATCCTTATACAGTTATCGAATATAAGGTTAGCTTTGGTCACATCAAATGAGAATATCCTAGCCTTTTTGTTTTCATTTTTTGTGGATTCATTCTTGCTCGATGTCCTAAATTTGGCTATTATA